ATCATCTTCCTTTTCTGTGAAGCACTGTCTCTGAACACCTGTTGTTTTTATAAATGACAGCGACCGGATGAACTCAGTTGTTTCGTATTTTGGGACCAAAACCTTGTTAGTCTCCAGATGATCATTGTTATGAACAACAAAAACAAACTCTACTAACCAGGTCACAGGACACACATAAACATATAAATATATAATACTCAAGAGAAAGCTGAACATAGAAACAGTAAAGTTAAAAACACAGTGACATCGTCATTCTATACGTTAGGATTGAGATATTCTGTTTAATTAATGCCTCTGCATCATATTTTAACTCCTCAATAGCATGAAAACTCTGAATTTGCAGTAATTTTAGCAGCCAGACAAATATACTGGACTAAAAACTGCAGTATTTCCCTCTGAAACACTGCATGTGTGAAGCGGCTTCAGGTGAAAATACCTTCGCTTTCCAGCCCTGCCTGTGGTCACAGCCAGGCTAGCAGTTTCCCTTTGTTTCCAGTCTTTATGCTAAGCTAAGCTAACAGCAGAAGGACATCAGTCTCAAGGAAAATGTCAAGACGTGAAGCGGAAACAGAACCAAGACGACCTACAGACGATGAATCCTGCAGGAAACGTCTCCTTACCTTCTGTTTGTCAGTCAGAGCCACAGATCCTGCTCAATGAATAATCTCCTTCTGCAGAACAGAGCCGACGTGAAGATCTGATGTTTCTGTTCTGAGCCAGAGTCACCATGAAACACCTGCTGCACATGTGATCCCAGCAGGGGGCTTTACATCCTTATGAGGACAAAACGACACCTTCTGATCAATAAACCGCTTCAGGGTCAGACTTCATACTCTGAAAGACTGAATGGAAGTCAGGGAGATGTCCTCTGAAGTGTGTGTGTGTGCGTGTGTGTGTGTGTGTGTGTGTGTGTGTGAGTGTGAACTTTGAAACCATTGGATTTACAGCATGAGCAGGTTGACTCACCTGACAAAGCTGCAGGGGTCAATGTACACACTGACACTATAACTAACACACACACACACACACACACAAATAACTGTCCATGTTCAGAGTTCTAGTTACAGAAGCAGGGATGTGAATTAAACTGTTGACGGCAGTAGTTACACAGTCCAGTGAAATTCGAGGCCGTCGGTGAGGAGAAACTCTGAGAAGAAGTCGCTACCAGTCAGTGTTGGTTCTCCTTTAAGCCACATTAACATCCCTCTGTTCATTTCTACATTCATTTAAAGTCAGAAGCTGAAGGTAAATCCTTGTCTAAACACAGTGAAGCTCATTTCTGCGTGGATCCAGTTTATGGAACTCACTTCCTGCTGAGTCACTGTGATTCACATGAAACCGAATTAACCAGAAAACAAACACAGCTTCAGAGGAGAGGAAACCGTCAGATATCCAGTGACATTGAGGTTCACCGAGTTTCTGTTTCCTGTCTGAATTCTAATTAATGACATCCATCCGTCGTCCTGCGACGCCGCAGCGCTGCAGGGAAACAGGACGTTATGCAACCGGCAGCGTTCGTCGTCAAGGACACGGCGGAGACATTTTTCATTCCAGCCTGTCTGCAGGAGGCAACGGTTTGCTGCAGGAGGAGGTCACTGAGGGAGGAGAGGCTGGAGATACAGACAGAGGCTGGAGATACAGACAGAGGCTGGAGATACTGTGAATGTTCCAGAGTTCCAGGTCCTTGAAGTCCACAGAGGACGGTCCAGATTGATCACTTTAATGGACTTTTTCCATCATTTCTGAGCCTCAGAACTTCATCAGCACAGCAGATAGACACATGACATTTAGGAGGAAGAACACATCTGAGTTCTGGTAGAACCTGACACCAACAAGCATCTGCACCATTTTTTCACCCTCCACCTTTACAAGCCTTCCAGAGCTGCTGCTGAGAAGCATCCTCACATCATGATGCTGCCACCATCATGACGTGAAGCATTTTTTAATAGACATAAAGCTCCATTTTGTTCTCATCAGACAAAAGAAGCTTCTTTTGTTTTCTTTACAAAGTGCATTCTGGGTAAACTTTCCAGGCTCATATCAGCATGTGTGATGGTGGTTGGTCAGAACCAGTTCTAGACGATGGAAGGACTGTTTTACCTCCAGAACCTACCAGAACCATCTATAGACAGGATTCACTTTGTGGCCATATCATTTTTTAATATGAGACATTTTAAGCATCAAACACTTCATTTCTTGCATTCTGGTGACATTCATGCACCCGTCTGTTCCTCGGTATAAACGTCTTTATTATTAATAAATGGAAACACAAACTTGAGCCGAACCACTGGAACCTTGAGTATTGAATAACCTTTATTAGCTTGCAGCTATGCTAACAGGATGAGCTGCTTCACATCTGAACAACAAGAATACAAAACACATCCAGATCAAAAAATAAAAACTTTTACATTCAGATAAATGAAGGTTGTATTTGAGCTTTTCATGAAATGTACAGTCGGGCTGAGAGAAGCTTGTCTACACAGAAAAACGGAGCATTTTCCTGCTTCGTCCTGAAACCACCGACCGGCTGCTGCTCTGTCTTCTTACAGTAAATCAGGATTTTACGGACACGTGTTCCCTCACGGAGCGTCTCCTAGAAACTACATTTACACACAACAGCAAATACATCTGAAGGAACCCAAAGTGCAGCTGGATTATATTTTCTCTGAGTATAAAGAAGAAATGTTTGACAGATATGTTCTTAAAAGGTCATTTAAGGCTTTTTAACATCTACATAAGGAAACTTTAACAGCAGCGATATCGATATATATGTCTACAGAGCAAAGAAAATCACATTTAAACATGTTACAACATAATAATCAAGATGTTTAAATTCTTTGAAACAAGGTTTGGATTACTTAAAAAAAAAAAAAAAACTTGACATGGGACATTTTTGCAGATTGCTTGAATTCCTCATAATTAAAAAGACTTTTTAAGACATTTTGCGGGCCTGCGTTTAAAAAAAAGTGACGTAAGACTTCAAGACTTAGTCATCTCACCGACTTACATACAAGGTCAGAGTCTAAAATCGCTCCCAGATCTGGATTTAGTTCAGATTTGTTTCAACAGAGCAGAAAACACTGATGTTGTCTGAGTTTCTTTTTGACTTTTCAGACATTTTCACTCATCCAACTATTGATATTGCGTAAAAACAACAGAGATGTAAAATTGATGTGGCTGTTGAAGGGTTAAGGATGGCTGCATACTTGATATTTCTGCAGAAAACTTTTAATTTTCTGCCCAAACACATGATTTTCTGACCTTTTACTTCCACAGGTGGGCACTTTTATAAGCCCTCCATCGACCCTGAGCTCCTCCTGCTGTTTATTTTACTTCATCACTGCATCTGCTGGTTTTTAATGCACAGATCAACATTAAATTAAACCTTTTGGTGAATTCCATGTCATTTACTGACACATAATAGAAAATTTTGGTCATCAAATGATCAGAACGAACAAGAAAATGCAGAGTTTTATCAAATAATGAAAAACAGGCTGCGTCTTCATCCCCTAAAGTCTTATTCTGAGAAGGAAAAACCACAAAAGCATGAGAACATCATTTCTTTGTCCTCCTCAGTGATCCCACAATAACATTTTTTGACATCTAAATGTACATTTCTCTAGAATAACCTGATTTCTCGCCGTGGAACCACAGATACTTGCTTCTGCAGCATTTCAAACACCTTTAAAATTACTTTTTCGGGACTTAATGTTGCTTAAATGGATTTTAAAGGATCCACCACATACTAGAAGCACATGAATGTAATTTCTAGGAGACAGCGCTGGGTGTGAAATGCACAGAAACTGGTTCTGCTTCTTATATTTGAGTCTTTGCGCGTTAAAGGCACTGACGTGAAGCCGAGTCCTCGAGGACGAACTCGGTCCCGTCATAGGAACCGAAGTCTTCAAACCACCTGAACTGAGGAGGCACTGCAGGATTAAAGCTCTGAGATAAAAACCCAACAGACAGAATAAAAAGCTTTGGTTCGTCCTGAGAGGCTCTGAAATGAAAAGGCACAGCTGTGGAGAGGAAGCCTGGAAGCATTCAGAGGAAAGTTCTGGTCTGAGTTTTGGTTTTTACCATCAGTCACAACAACAATAATAATATTGATGTGACCGAGTTATTATTGGAGACATTTGAAAATATAAATTCTGTTGAAGCTTAAGTTTCACCCAAATACATAAAAAATGGAAAAACATTCTTGTCTGTCAACTAATATTGGGTTTAATATGAGGATGACTGAAGATATGAGACAGCATAAAAATAATGTTTATCTAAGTGACCATGAGGCTTTATGATGAAACCAGAACTCAGAAATGTCTAAAACAGAAACGTTGCATGAATATTTTTGCAGCTTTCAGGATTCAAGAGACTTTTTCTGACCTGTCATGGCCTCACTTTTAAACATAGAGTCAGAAGTGTTGCAGGAGCCATGGGAGCAGAGCAGTGCTGCACAGTGGAGGCTAAACGTGACCCTCTGAACCACAAAACCCACCAGCAAGGCCAGAAACTGTAAAAACAGGAAGGTTTAAACTAACAGACAGTCCCTGAACTCATGTGAGACGCTGCATCCAGAAAATGAACCAAATCTGAGCCTAACATCAGGATAGTTCATCAAAATCATTTTATTCACTTCTCTTTTATAAAAAAAAATGCCCAAAACAAACTATTGTCAGTGACTAAGATTTTGTGAAAAACAAAAAAATTCTCGGCTTTTTGGTGCAACAGTGAAGCTGCTAAAGACTCAACAGGGACCAACAGCGACAAGTCAAAAATTCACTTTGTGTTGCTGTGAAGCCACAGGAGGACCAGCTAGACAGGAGCAGAAGAAAGACAAGACAAATGGCCAGAAAGTGCTGCTTGGAGTTCAGAGGGTTGAAGCAGGGTTAACCCTAACCCTAACTAGTTTATTTGAGTTGATGATAAATTGAAAAGGTCTATTCTGTTAAAACACTCGGACAGGCAGGAGAGCTGGTGTCCTGCAGATGTTTAAACGCTATGCTGCTGCTGCCTTCAGTCCAGAGGAGGAACGTCTGCAGAGGTCAGAGGTCACAACTCTGCTCACGGTCATAATGTGAGGAAACCAAAGAAACTCCAGCTCTGACCTCTGAAACGGATTTCAGTGAAGCTGCTCGACTTGTGCCAAGTGTTTAAAATACATATACCAGTATATATCTATATCACTATGTATATTCTCTACACATTTGAACACACCTATGATTTTATCCAGAAGTTTTCTTTCTTACACGTTAAATAATTCACTTCTTTATATTTAAAATGCTCTTTGGTTGAAGTGACTCGACCTGTTTGACCTTTTTACTCTCATTCCTGCAGCCACTTTATTCCTTTATGATAACTAGAGCTGCAACGACTGATCGATCAGCTGTCGACTAGCACGTTAATCTGTTATGTTAAGTTTTGGACTAAAGCTGCTGCTTTTATTGTCTTAAATGACGACTTCATTTAGTTTTTGATGCACTTTCTTGATCTTCAGCACATGAATCAATACTGAAACAGTTAAAATCCCAAATATATGTTGGTTTGAAACAAATTAAAAAGCAAAACTCCTTTTAGGGCTCAGCTTCTGTGGCAGCCGGCAGAAGTTGGAAAGAAAAGAAAAAGTTCAACCGAATGAAGCAACGCAGAGCGAGTGGTTGGTGAGTTTTGGAGGAAAATGTGCTTTAAATCTGGGGTTTATGAACAAAATATGACTGATTAGTTGCACAGAAACGATGGAGTGAAGCTGGAGATGTAAATGCAGGCGCTAAAGACTATGAGGAGGCTCATGTTGCTGCTTGCTGCACAGTTGAGGCACACGGACTCGTACGGAGGAACACTACGGCAGAACGCTGGTCAAACATAAAGACGTTTCATTTCTTTTATAATCAAGGCACCTAAATGAGCCAGAGTCAGTGAAATGTGGCGACATCAAGCAGGAAGTTGCTGCTTTTCTTCTTTGTTTCAGTGGAAATGCTCGACAGATGAAGCCAGAATCGCAGCGCTGCGTCTGTTGCAGGTTTTCATGGTGACCTTTGACCTCCAGCAGCCGTCTGTCCGTCCGAGCAGCAGCAGCAGCGATGACCTGCGGCGGTGTTCCCATCAGTCAGTGTCGGCGGCGCCCTGCTAGTCCTCGTTGTGGTTGTACAGGGCGTCGGCGGTGGGGTTCTTGCGGTGGGCCGGAGGCACCAGGTGGTCGGGCAGCTCGGTGGGCAGCTCGTAGCCCTCCAGCTTGATCTTGATGAGGTGCTGAGCCAGCGCAAACTCCTCGTCGTCCAGCATGCCGTCGCGGTCGCAGTCGGCCAGCTTCCAGATCTTCCCCAGAACCGTGTTGGGCAGCCGCGAGTTCATCATCTCCTTCTTGGCGTTGACGCCGGTGATCTTGCCGTTGACGGGCATCAGCGTGTAGAAGATCTCGTCGTATCGGTGCTTGTCGCGGCTCACAATCCAGTCCTCAGCGTCGGCACCGGCGCTGATGCCCTCGCCATAGCCCTGGCCGAAGGGCCCGTCCTGGGAGCCCTCGAAGGCGCCGCCAGACACCATGGCCGGCGGTGCCTTGGACTCCTCCTCCCGGATCATCGACATCAGAACCGCGATCTTGGTGGCCAGCATCTTGTCCACTGACTCGATGAGCTTCATCTTCAGAGACGGAAACTTACTGAAGTCGTAGTGCTGCAACATGTCCTGCAGGAGGAGGAGAAGAGACGCTGTCAGAGCTCAGTCTGTCAGGGTCATTATAATAATAACAATAACAATAATAATGACAATAATAACAATAATAGTTTCAGATTGCAAGTGCATATTAAACAGCTTTACAACAAATAGGAGAATACCAATAAAAAATCATAATGGGAAAAAATGCAATTTAAAATCTAAATAGAAATATTCTACAGGTAAACTTATAGAAAAATGCATTTAAACATTTTGCAAAATTAAATTAAATGTTTAACTTACAATTAAGAAAATCAATACAAATGTTGTTTAAAAATATATTACAAATATTTTTTAAAAAGTGGTGAAGTTGGACCAGACAAGGTTCTGGTTCTACATGTTCAGATTAAATGTTGATGTGGACTTATCGGTCATTTTCAGAGCTTAGTTTTGGGTCCCAAATAACAACGCTCAAAGAAAAACGAAATAAAAACACAAACTAGGACCTTCAGCTTTGTTCTGCTTTTGTCTCAGCATCTCGAAACTCCTGAACTGAGATGAAGCAACACGGTGATGTTAGGATGCTGAAGCAGAACCTCCTGAGTTCTGCAGCTGCACACAGCGTCTAGCCGACCTCCAGGCACAACACAGCAGCTCAGTGTGACTCTGTGTGTGTGTCAGTGTGTGTGTGTGTGACTGACTGTGTGTGTGTGTGTGTGTGTGACTGTGTGTAGGTGTGTGTCTGCGTTGTGTGTGTGTTCAGGGTCCCTGCAGGTTACAGTTCACCCTTCCAGGATCTTTGCCACATATCAGCTGTACTGATGTCTGTGTTTGTGTTTACTTCTCGTTTGTATTTTGTTTACTGACGTTTACTGCGACACTGAACATGCTCATGCTGAAGGAAACATGGAGTTTAATGTTTTAAACATTGTAATAGGCCCGTGTCTGAGGCACAAAAACATCCTGATCAACACGAACACAACACGAGGTCACATCAGCTGAAAACACACACGTCACCAGGGAGCCCAGGCATCTGAACACGGCCTCGTCCAGCGACCCAATAAATACAAGTGCAGCCGGGGA